CCAAAATGATTACGTCCTGCACAAATAACATGTGTACCAATAAAATTAATTTTAAAAAAGAACTCAAAATAAGCACTCTGAAAGCTTGTAAATTTAGGAACTGGAGGAACAGCTCAGTGCTGAAGTGTGTGCCTGGCATACCTAAGGCTGGCCTGGGTTTGTCACCCATCACCAAACAAACAAAGCATGTAACAAAAATCTTATTTTTTAGCTACAATTTTAAATTTTACAACATCAGAATTTCTTACATAAGAAATAGTCGCAAGAATAACATACTTGATCTTTAAAAAATTCCGAAGTTCTATCTTTACATGTGATGAATTTAAATTAACTAAATCTATTCCACTTCAAGTTTACCTTCCTGATTATATCAAAACGGAATTCACAATTTTTATCACCATACACCCAAATCCAGGCTGGCTTCTATTCCTCAGGGAACAGTCCAGCTACACCTGCATGTGTACAGCATACCTTGAAGGAAGTTGCTGTTGCAATCATCTGCCTACCACTATTCCCTCACTGAGGAAGGGCCAAGGAGGAAGAGAAGCCTTTCTCTGGACTGTCACAGAGCTACAAAATGTGCACAAACTCTGGCCTCAGCAGTCTATGTTCAGATACCACTGGGGACAAACTGGTCCTACTCCTTATATGAAAAATATGCATCATAATCTCCCTCCAATAAGCAGTGCAAGTGTCACACTTAAAGACGCTGTCACTCTCTTTCATTTCCCCACTCATACCATTAACTTTACAGATGCCATCCGACTATCAAACCTCTCACTCAAGAAGTAAAACCTAAATCCAGCGGGGCACCATGGTGCTTGTCCATATTCCCAGCACTCAAGAGGCCGAGGTGGGAGGATCTCTTGAGTCCAGGAGTTGAAGACAAGCCTAGGCCACAAAGCAAGACACTGTCTCAAAACACTAAAATAAAATGAAGTCTGAGGAAGTGGTAAAAAAGAAAAATAAATAAAAATTAAATCGAAATTGAAATACTGTATAAATCCAGTGCCTTTCCGGCAAGCGCAAGGTCCTGAATTCAATTCCAGTTACAAAACAAAAACAAAACAAACAAACAAAAAAAAAACTGTATAAATCTAAAAGGTATTTTTAGAGGAAAACTAAGATACACTATAACCTGAAGCCAAAGTCACTATCACTGGGAGTGCTGATTGTCCAAATCCTAAACTAAGACCAACTCATTAAATGTTGTCAGCAGCGCAGTAACAAAGAACCGCACCGGTGGCTCTGCTCCCCAGGGCTGGCCCCAAAGCAAAGCAGCTCTACCCCACACAGGCTTCATTTCTACCATAAGACTCAATGTGGCGCAGTTCTGTGTATTTATCACTGCAACTTCCAGAACAAACAGGAAGCTGAATTTCTGTGTCGTGACAAAATGATTAGAAATAACTAGTTCACTTAATTCCTAGTGTACGTGGTAGGAAAACTGTCAGAGGATTGCATAAATTCACAGCTCTAACTCTGTCAATGTTAATCCTCACTTTGGGGGAAGGGGAGGGCTGCTCTGGACTCGGGTGTGTCTTGAATTGTAGTTCTCACCGACTTTATTCTGTTACAGAATGCCAGAAGCAACCCAGCTGTATGTGCCTGGCAGCTCCCTGGTGAGGGTAGCTGCTCCTTCCTCTCCTAAAGTTACTAACCCTGCTACTCCACCAAAAGCCGTTCTGCTGACCTGGGCGCACACAAGAAATCAAAGGGGCAGGAAGTAGGACGAGGCTGCATTCAAAGCCCAAAGAAGGTGAGAGACAGTCATCCTTGACTCCCTTCTGTCCAAATACAGCCCAAATTCTTGCTAATCTATTCCAAGTTCATGATCAAAAGTGTGTATGCCCAACTATTCTGAAATAACACCTTCTCTTCAACCAAAGGATGATTTTTCTGCCCACACATAATCTTGAAGTGTTGGTATGCCAAAAATGAGCCTGACACAATAAAAAAAACTACGGTAAGGATAGCTCATCTGAAGAAGTCATTACAAACCTTTACTTTCTCTTCATTTTCCATCTTCCTTTATCAACTTTTACCTACCCCATATAACCCTCAATGTAATATCCTCAAATTTTAAGCCTTTTCTCAAAGAAACTTTAACCCTTAGGACACATAACAAAATGACACTCCTCTGGGAACAGACGCCAGAAACAGTAAGGAACTGGGAGAAGGTCAGCAACACCACTCCCTGCTGTTCCGGAAGTTCTCTCCTCAGCTCTCCACCCTAACCCATCTGTACAGCAAAAATGGAAAGTCCGAGGTGAACCTTTCCCAGTCGAGTGCTTCAGCCCAGCAACAGGGCCTACTGGGGCTCAGGGATTTACATGGGGAACTGATAAGTCTACAGAAACCCTGATCATAAACTTAACATCTGTAATCCCAGCACCCAGTACAGTGAGACCCTGTACAAACAAACAAAAAAAAAAAACTAATAAAAAGAATAAACTGAAGTACAATAAAATATATTCTTCCTAGGGGAAGTTTTAAATTAAAGTATTTCCGCCCCTTTGTCAAAGGGTCAGAGCGGCGGTAGACACCTGTAACCCTAGCACTCTTGAGAGGCAGCAGGATAGAAAATTTCAGTCTCAGCCTGGGCAATTTAATCACACACTGTCAATCAATCAATCAATCAATCAGTCAATGGCTAGGGACATAGCTCATTATGAAGGTCTGAGTTCAATCCCAATAAAATAAGTAAATAAATAAGTATCAATTTCCATTATAGAAAAGACGTGCAAACCATCTCAGGTTGCAGGTCACAGAATGAATGAGTTACACAGATAATCCTCTTTCGAAGCTCTGACTGTGGATCTAGGAGCCCAAATGTGCAAAGCAGTCCTCAGCGCCACGCTGAACACCCCTGACCCTGAGCATACTGTCTATACCAACAGTCTTTGCGTTAGCATCATCCTTTAAGGATATTACCTGGCACCACCTGTAAGAATAAGAAAGGTGTTTTCAAACACGTAAACCAAAGACCACTTCTCTCCTTTCTCACTAGTCTAGGTGTCATAGGCAGCTGAGTTAGACAGAAATATTATAGGCAGTCAAGACAAGGCCAGGCCCTTACAGGAGCCAACACGAAAGACAAGATACCTGTGGGCCAGACCTCAAGACAAAAGGACTAAACAAATGTACCCACACACCTCCCTAGGGGTGAACATCACGGATTGATATTATTCTTTTTTTTTTTTTTGTCTTTTTGAGACAAGGTCTCCCTATGCAGTTCAGGCTGGCCTTGAACTCACTTTGTAGCCCAGGCTGGTCTCGAACTCACACCAATCCTCCTGCCTCAGCCTCCCAAGTGCTGGGATTACAGGCGTGCACCACCACCCACGCCCAGCTAGGGATTGATATTCTAAATAGGCAGCAACCACCTTCAAAAGCTAGAGTCACTAGCCCTCCCCCTACAGGAAAAGCCCCTGTTCTGTACTCATACCCGCTTGCTGCATGACTCACGTCCCTATTTGATCCCAGTTTACTCAATTTTTACATGAACAATTATACTTGTAATCCTACTGGCTGACCATAGTTTTGTCCCACCTCGTGCCCACCTCGTAATTTCCCATTTTCCCCCTACCGTGGCCACACCTCAGGGTTGTGCTCTATAAAGTCCCTGGGAAAGGCAAGGTCCTTGGCAGCCCACTCGGCCCCTTCTGTCCCTCTCTTGGACAAAAGCTTTCTTTCCCTCAATAAATATATTCTGCTCTTAACCTCTGTTGTTCCTAAAATTCATTCTTTGATTTTAGAGAACACGAACTCGTCCCAGATATAGCTCAGGTTGGGAGTTTTTATTTTCCTGTATCACAGGCACCATGAGCTCCCCACTGGATAAACACAATCACCCCTGACAAGACTTCCTGTGAGCTCTCTGCCCCACTCCCGAAAAACTCACTCTTCACATGGAACCCAGTGTGGTCTTTCAAAATAAAGTCACAAAAATAGCAGAAGAAATAAGCAAACAACCACCACATCTGCCTCTCCCACTGAATTCCAGCCTGTCGATGCTTCTCACTGTGCCCACAATAACACCCGACGCTTTACTACCCTGGACAAGCGCAACACCATCTGCACCTTCTGCACCTCCCCACACTCACCGGGAGCTAACTCCACCATGTGCACCTTCTGCACCTCCCCACACTCACTGGGTGCTAACTCCACTGACCACCTTCCTCTTCCTTCCATGCATGAAGCTCAGGCCTCAGGACTCGCCATTGGTAGGGGACGGGAGGGAGACAGACACAGAGAGAAAGAGAGAAAGAGACAGAGACAGAGAGAAAAACAGAAAAAGCAAAAGAAAGAGAGAGAAAGAAAAAAAGTGAGAGAGAAAGAAAGAAAGAAAGAAAGAAAGAAAGAAAGAAAGAAAGAAAGAAAGAAAGAAAGAAAGAGAAAGAGAAAGAGAAAGAGAAAAAGAGAAAAAATAGTCCCAGCATTCAGGAGGCTGAGGGAGGAGGATCAACACGAGTTTGAAGCCAGCCTGAACTACATAGTGAGACCATCTCAAAGAACAAAACAACGATGACAATGACAGCACATACACACAAGAGGAAGAAGCAAGGAAGACAGAGAAGGGGACTAGTGGTTAGGCCCTAGGTTAATGTTACCGTCTAGGAGAATCCGATGGAAACTAACTGCAAGGACCTCAACACCTCTGAAGCCCACACTTGGATCTCTGTGGCTCTAAGAACCACCCTTGATTTTAGAAGAAAGAAAAGCAGAAGCAGCAGCAGTCACCTTAGAACACAACCTACTATAAGTAGGTGAAATAAAACAATTATCCTGTAAGCAAGTCAAGTGCTCCATCCATGTGGATAAGAAGTTGAAAGAAAATAATTATTCTTTAGGAAAGTCAAGTCCTCCGCACAGGTAAGAAGAACACCAGTACTGCAAATACTTCCTTTTGGATGAAATGGTGATCCATATCACGAAGACTAAGAGCATAACTTAAAGGCCAAATGATCTTTTTTGTGACAAGATCTCAGCATAATCACCTTGGCAAGACCGGCTCGGTGAGCTCCTTTAGATTCCATATATGCGAGGTATTTGTTGAACTCCCGGAACTCCTCCATGGAGGGTCTGAAGGTCATGATCTTACAGCTGGGGTTCAAGGGACTCTCTGCCTCCACCGCCTCCATGGTGGCTAGGTCAGCCTCTGCAGAGAAGAGGACACGGTCATCAGCACGAGTTAGTATGCTTAAGATCAGGTCCCTCCTCTCCCAAATAGCATATGAGCTCACTCAGGAGAAACTCTGCTCCTTTAGTTACTTAGAACTCCCTTCCACCATTCTTGGGGGAGTCCCACATCCCTTCCTGTCCTCCTGACAAGTCATCCACTGCCAAGCTCTTATTCCTGGCACTGAATCACTGATCTGGCTCTACTGCCAGCTTCCTCAAAGCCCTTCAAAATAAAACTGAATTTTCCAACATTTCAAGTTCACAAGAAATGTTGCTCCTGTGTCTGAAAGGCTCCTTCACTCATACACGCACCTGCAGAAAGGCCTTGTCCAAGTTTAGAGGATGTTCAACATCCCTAGCCCAGAGTTGGTTCGGCTATGTTTCTAGTTTGTTGTAACATACCTTCCTGTTGTAACAATTACACACCAATCATTCAGCAAAACCACCAAGCACCAGCCTAAAGGACCAGAGACAGAAAAGGGGAAAGGCGTCTCTTCAACTTCCAAGCTCACTGCCCAGAGGCTGAACAAACTTCAGTTACATACACAGGAGATAGGTGTGGTAGAACACACTTATAAACCCAGCATTTGGGAGGCTGAGGCAGGAGGATCACCATGAGTTTGAGGCCAGTATGTGCTATGCAATGAGTCCAAGTCCAGCCTGAACTATATAGTGAGACCCTGTCTCAAAAAATAAGAAAAGAAAAATATACAAAGGAAGGACCAACCAACTCTTCCTGGATGAATCAAAAATCGCTGTCCCTTTCTTAACACCTGTAAGAAGTATAGAAACTGGCCAAACAAGAGAAAAAATTCCAGGCATTAGAGATACATGGAAGTATTGCAGTGAGAACTCAAAACTCATGTTTTGAGTTTAGAAGCTAGTATTACAGGAGATCGAAGTACACGAGTAGGGTCAAGAAGTGTGGTGGCTCACACCTGTAACCTCAGCATTTGGCAGGAGGATTGTGAGTTCGAGCCCAGCCTGGACAATTTAGGAGGTAGACAGGATCGTGAATTCAAGCTAGCTTACACCGTGCTGCGAGTACACCAGTCTGGACTACATACCAAGACCCTGCCTCAAAAAATATGAACGAAGAAAGCATATTTTGCTACAAAAACATGAACCTAATCTTGCTGTCAATGAATGGGGTGGTTCCTTCAACAAATGTGTACTAAGCACAGTAAGCAAAGGTAAGTAAGAAGCACGAGAGTGACTGCCGCAAAAAAGTCCCAACCCACACCACCTGCAGATTTGGTAACGAGGCCAAATGGCATCTGACAACTCGAGCCACAGATCCTCCTGGGACCAAGTTTTCCTTTATTTGTTTTCCTTCCAGTACTGAATCTAAGGCCCTTGCACTGAGCTACAGTCCTATCCCTTAATTTTTTTATTTTGAGATAGAGCCTAAATTGCCAAGGCTAAACCCAAATATGTGATCCTCCTGTCTCAGTCTCCCACAGTGCTGGGATCACAGGCAGGTGCTACCGTACCTGGTTCCTTTTAATAAATTAAATCTGCCTGCCAGGAAAATGGGGGGGGGGGAATATGGTGCATGAAAGGGGAGGACATGTTACAGTGCGCAGTTACAAGCTGGCGGTGATGTGGTCTTCATGCACGCGGAGAACGTGCACAGGAGCATGCAGCTTACAGCGCACGTGTATGGAGCTGTGTATCAGAAACACACACACTGCAGTGTGCCACCCCTTAGGGGAAAATTCTCTGAAGAGAGCTACATTAACAAATACACAGCAGAAAAGAGTCTAATTTTCTTTGCCTCAGGAAGGGAGCATAAAAGAGAAAACCTTGCAGACTACTTCCTGCCAGTCTCCCTTCACACAAACAGGTGCACACATCAAATCCTCAGCCTGCAGAGTAAGCTCTCACTCTGTACAATAAACACACAGTTCAGAAACACCCAAATCCGGCCCTTGCTTTCCTATGTGGCCTCGTCCACACCACTGCCTACATCCTACAGCAGCCGGGGAGGACTGGCTCTCGTCAGTGGTGAACCTCTGGCACACAGGCCGCAGCAAGCACAGCACCCTCTCTCCGCACGCAAGCCAAGTCGCCCCAGCATCACCCAGCTGCCAAAAATCAGGTACCAGTGTACAAAGGAGCAATGCACACGCTCAGAAAGGAGTCGCTGCACCAGGCGATGACATATTTGGTTGTTTGTGAAGAATTTATGAAAAGAGCAAAGATATATATATATAATTTATATTAATATATATGGGTAACTACTATCCATATAGGTTAACATATTATATATTATATACATATTTGCTTGGACTGGCGGTGATTTTAGCAGAAGCCGCCAAAAGGTGGAAAATGCACTCAGATGATTTTTTTCAGAGCAAGACAAACGCTGGTGGCCAGTGGAACATTGCCCCCATGTGCTGGTGGTAATAAATTCAAAAAGAGCCCCAGCTGAGAATCACTGCCACAGACTGTTGATGCGGGGAAATATCCAGTTCTTTAGTGCTCACTCACAGTGTTAACATTTCTGGGAAAGGGGTAGATTTCTTCAGTGGTACCTCAGTTCACAAACTTAATTTTCTCCACAATTCTGATCTCAAAAATTCGATGAGAACCAAATCAAATCCAATGGTCAGGGTCAATGTTGACCTTATGGGGAAATGTGATTTGGTTCTTGTCCAGTTCGGTTTGCAACCAGAATCATGGGAAATTCTTCATGAAGTCCTACTGTATCGGAGGCTTCATTTTCTTTCTAATTTTGTGTTTTTGTAGATTCCAAGTCTAAAACACCAAAAAATGATTACAGTACAGAAAGCCAAACTGAAAACAGAAAGTGGAAGATCATTCTACAGGCCGGGACAGAGTCATTTAGAATAACTGAACACGATGGGAAAATGCTATATATTCTGTCATGAAAGTGTGTGTGTCGGACATCATGTGTCAGACCACACTTTGACACCAACCACAAAAGTGTTGCCAAACTTGGTGAAACTAAAAGGAAAGAGTTTCTTGAAGGAAATTAAGAAAATACCATTCCTATTATCTTAGTTTTTGCATCCATCTTTTTAAAACGAATCATCTGACGGGTGCCAGCTTTCAAATTTCACTGTACAGAGGTAGGTCTCTTGCTGGGGGGTGGTTTTAGCACAGCGGTCATATTGTCTGGGAGCAATTCTATTTTTCATGGTTTCCCAAACAAGGGTAAAATTATGCAATGCATCTCTGAGATGCCACTTTGCGAAAATACCGTTGACGATTGAGTCTTCCGCATGGCTAATGATGTAAGTCCGCAGCTCACCACTGACTTACAAAAGGCAGCCTGTTACCCCATGTGCTTAGATGGAAGCATAAACACATATGAGCATGCAAGGCTAGCAGTAATTTCGTGTTATGCTGTTGGTGACATCATGAGACAAGAGCTGGAGAAGCTGGTGTCTCTGCCAGGAAGAACACAAGGGATCGATATCTACGATGCTGTGATAGAGGTTTTTTTGTCCTAAGACGTAAGACCAGAAAAAGTGGTTTCAATTACTAGTGATGCGGCACCGTGCATGGTGAGGGCAACACCTGGTTTCACACAGTTCTTTATTAAAGAAGCAAAACATCTAGTCATTCAGTCTTGCTGTATTACACATCAAGCTCTTTGTGCCAGGCAAAGCAGCAAAAAAAGCAGCAAAATCCTCAAAGATATCACAAAAAAGGTGAATTACAACTTGGCTGATGCTCTTCATTTTCAAGTTTCAAGCACTTCTTGATGGGGTTCATGCACAGCATAATGCTGTACTTACGTACAACGGCCGAGCAGAGGACGCGTCTTGGAGAGATTTGTAGCCTGTTTGGATGAAATCAGGTTGTGTACGAATGAAAAACAGCTGGAATATCCACAGCCCACTGATGTGGTCTGGCTTGTAACAAGTCATGTTTTTTACAGATTTCTGCACTATACTTCAATATACCGAACAAAAAAAACTACAAGGTGTAGAGAAAATATGTTATCAAAACATTTGAGAGAAAACTCCAAGTTTTTGAAAGAGACCATGAAAGTGGGCAGCTGAAATACTGTCCAAATGTAAAAATTCTACAACATTTGCAGACAATCCTACAAGCTATCAGGAAATCTATAAGGAATTTTCTAGCATTTTAGCAGCTACAAAGGAGAATTTTAGAAACAGAGTTTTACAATTCTATAAAAGGAGACAACCTAGTGTTTTACTTCTCCAGATAAAGTCAAATTTGAAGAACTTGATCTTTCCTATTTATAAGGTTTAGATTTTGGAAATCTAGATATGCAATTGGAATTTCAAGAAAGCTCTATGTGGAAAAATAAATTCTATGACCTGCAAGCAACACCTAATATAGAGTGTGAAGGGATGACAAAGGACAGCACAACTGGTAGTTCTGAAAATGAAATTCTTATGTGGAATTCCCTGTCAAACAATTTAAGCCAATGCAAGCACTGGAGATTGCTTTTCTTACTTTGTTTGGGTGAGCTTCTGCCTCTAAGCAGCTGTTTTCAGTTTTGAATTATATCAAATCCGATACAAGAAAAAGATGAACATGCCCTTAGTGCTGTATGTGTTGCTTTCAAACTAACGAGGGATGAGCCAAGGCCTGACAAATGATCAGCATGCATACAACAGCAGGATCACATTAACTGCGCAGGACACCAAATGCAAATTTCTACCATTCAATAAAAAGTTGTTTGTATCACTGACAGCTCTGTTATTGTGCTTTTCTTTTAAGACAAAAGATGTTAATGTATGAGTTGTTTTTTCTAAACTAAAACCTCAGTATTCAGGTTTAATTAAGTGGATTTTGGGTTGTAGTTTGGGCATGCAGGCTCTAAAAGGTTCGCCATCACTGGTCTAGGACTTTCCAAGACACTGACATCCAACAATGTCCAAGTCCTTTATATGAAATGGCACCATATTTTCAAATAACCTATACATATCTTTCTTTACACTTTAAATTATCTCTAAATTTATAATATCTAATATG